ATCACAACATGTCTCCCTGTGATGAGCTGCAGATTGATTTAGGGAATCCAAGAGAGAATGGTACCCATTCCCAGCCCCCCGGGGAAGATGAGAAGCCCCAGGTGCCTGAATGACAGAACAGGAAGCAATGCAGAAGCTTTGGGGAGGGGACGTTAGTAAGTCCAGGCCAAAGGCACCTGAACTACCCAGACCTCCTGTGGCTCTTGCTTCTCTGGGGTCATGGGAAAATATTCAAAATTATTTATGCCATGACAGGTGGAAAAGTACCTGGATAAGGGCCGTAGACCTGAGGGGAGTTAGAGAAAAGAAAATCCATGCCATTGGTTAATGCTGCACAGATCGTGTGACCCAGATTGTGTAGTAAGAGATTTCAGCAGTGACCTTGCCCTGGAGGCCCTAGAGAGCACCTAGCATATTTTAAGTGTATTTGGTGGAATTTGACCAATGAGCATGCTCCAAAGAGACCAACTGAGATAACCTGTTACATAACTGGAAACCACCCCCTTAGTTGAATATTCGTTAGATATCATGAAGATGTGTGAATAGCCTAACTATAAAAGCAGAATCCAGGAAGAAGGCAGGGTCGCTGCTCCAGCCCACACTTTGCCTGTGAGCTGTGCATCTCTTACTTTTTGTATTAAACCTGCCTTTAGCAGGCTACTGCTCACTATCTGGAGCCAGCTCACACTTTCCCTGTGAAGTGTGTATTTCTTACTTTTGTATTAAACTTGCTGTGGCTGTGCTCACTCTCGAGCCAGCCTTGACTTTGTCTGTAAAGTATGTATTTCTTATTCTTTACATTAAACCTGTTTTCACTTTCTGCTCCATTTCTGCTCTCGAATTCTTCCCTGTGGCAGAGTCAAGAACCTGGTAGAGCATGGGATGGGTTGAGGTCAGCTATCTGACCTCCCCAGATCCTCTCCTCCAGTATCAAAAGGGCAGTGCACCCAAATCAGATGAGAAATACATGTCAGTGCATGTCAGCAGAGGCCAGACCTCGATCAAGAACCAAACACCCTCTCCCTCCAATATCCATGATAGAATACAACCCCTGTATTCCCCTCAATCCCTTTCCAACCTTAAAGAAAATTCCTAGGGAGGAGAAATGTTTGGAGGAGGTACATCGGGAGACGTGAGTCACTAAGTTGCTGGTGGTTAAGTTAAATTAGGTCAAACTTTTATACTGACATTCAAAATCTTACAGAAATCTGCCTCCAATCTGCCTTTCCAACTAGGTTCCTGTAACTTCCCTACACAAACTTTCTAGTCAAGACATTCATTTCTCCACAAACATTTATCTGTGTTTTTACTTCTGCATATTTGCAGATAACATTTCTCCTGAGCTCCCTGAAATTCTCAAACTATGCTTTTCTGATGTCACTAACTCCTAAAACATTGCCTAATATGGTCAGCCAATGCTTCTGAGTGAACTAATGAACTGAATAAAAATGGAGTAATTAATGAAAAATGAATGACTACAATGTCCTTCTTAGAATTATCTCCCTACGTGAAACTTATCTGACTTTCTAGGAGCAGGTAACAAGCACCCTATTTTTCTCTGAGAAAGACTTAGGGACCATTTCAACCATATATATTTTTAAACTCCTGTAACATATTATCAATCATAGCCATTTTATCATATGTTATCTTTCATTAGCTATATGTATGGACACATAATCACCTCCAAGAGTGTAATCCTCTTGAGACAGACATTGTACTTTTGGTGGAGATTATATTAGGTGAATAATATTCCATGGTCTATATATACCACACTTTCCTTATCCAATCATCCGTCAATGGACATTTAGGTTGGTTCCATATCTTGGCTATTGTAAATAGAGCTGCGATGAACATGGGAGTGTGGGTATCCCAATACTACTCTGCCATAAAAAAGAATGACATACTCCCATTTGCAACAACATGGATGAACCTTGAGAAACTTATGTTGAGTGAAATAAGCAAAACACAGAGGAATAAATATGCATGTGCTCACTCATATGTGGTAGCTAAGAAAGAAAGGAAGGAAGGAAAGAAAGACCACAGTATTGCGGTGGACTTACAGAGGGAGGGAATATTCCTAGGGCTTGCAAAGTGGAATGGGGGAGGGGGAGGGTGGTCGGGGGGACAATTGGGTAGGGACATGGGGTATAAAAGCAATTTCTGGTAATTTGTATTTCATGAATATTCATTATACACACACACACACACACACACACATATATTAGGTGAATAAATGCAGGTTCCCACACCAATATCTTCCCCCCATTTTTCACAATGCTGAATTTGTATTTCATGAATATTCATTATACACACACACACACACACACACACATATTAGGTGAATAAATGCAGGTTCCCACACCAATATCTTCCCCCCATTTTTCACAATGCTGTTGAAAAGAGAAAAAAAATGCCCACTAATATAGCAGATACAATTACGTTTCCTGTTGGACTCCCAAGTACTAAGAAAATAACTGAGTTTAGTGATATTTGTCTCCTATTTCACTAGAGCAGGACATAGCAAACTTTTACAGACCATGCTTCCTACTGCTTTTATGGGGAATGTTTATGGAGAAGGGAAGTGCTTTAAAGAAAGCAAAGATGAGAGGTGCAAGATGGTAATCTCTGTTCTGCCACTCTCAGGCCAATTTTGCTGCCAATCCTTGCATGAAGTGCTCTAATTTTTGCACAACGTTTAGTAAGTTTTAGTGGGTGATAATCATGAAAATGCAAGTTACTGTCATTGGTAATAACCTGGTATCACCTTAGTTTTTAGCATTATTACAGTAAACAAGGAAAATTATATTTGGAAAACAACTTTTTATGCACCTTGAGCATGTTAAGTCAGGGAAATTTACATGGTTTAATGTACAAGTTTTGTTTTCTGAGCTAATCTCTTATTTTACTCTCTGAATTCCAAGTGCCAAGCAGACGACTAACTTTGGAAGCAACAGACAATGCATTATTACCTTGCACTATAAAAGACTGTCAAAATAATATTTTGAGGGAGTCAGTGATCAAAATAGATTTAGATTCAAAGAAAGAAATGAAAATTTAAAAGATTGCCATTTATATGCAAGAAATTTTTACATTTTATATATTTACACTTATATTTGCATTTTACACTTAATATTTTTTACCCCAGAAGCAAGCAATAATGCAATATTTCATCTATTTTCCCAAATAATCAGACATTATATCTGCTCACCACATCTGCATTGGTTTTGTTAATACTTCTCAATATAACACTCCCCTTCCTGGTTTTCATTATTTCCACCTATTTTCCATTATATTCAGACACTGAAAGAAAGAAACACTAGGACGTATCTTTGGATTAATAAGTTTCAATTCCCTCTTAAGAACTGATTTATGTATTAAAATATCTAATATCTAAAGGTTTCGGATTAATAGATGGACTACAACTAAACATTCTCATTAATTTCAAGTTTATTTTAGTAACTGCTGTCCATGTTCTAGTCAGTAAATAATGATTTACTTTCCTTATGTAAACCTGAAATTTAATTTTGAGTGGTTTAAAAATATAGATGTCATTTTTACATACTAATTTTTACAATATGAGTTGCTTTACCTTTGAATAATCTATATAGTCACTTTTTTGTAGTGATGAATTTAGTTTAGACACATTCTAGCTATTTTTCAATGTGTGCTTAGCATATTTAGTTTCTCTGTAAATGAGGACAGCAAATGGTATTGTAACAAACATACAATTAGACCTTCACAATTCAAAGGTCAATTGTCTATTGCTGTCTCCCTGGAATAACCTATTGCCAAAGTCATTCTTTACAATACACAAGCATAATTTATTTTCTTCTTCCTAATTTGGTTATGTAATTTTATTTGGATGTTCACCAATACCCCTCCTTTTTATGCTTGAAACAAACATAAATGGTTGGTGATATAAGAGAATGAATTAATTTCCATCTTGCAAATTTCTGATGGTAGACAACTAGGAAGGAGAGTTGGGGACAGTTAGCTACTGCTGGTCAATTTTCACTTGATAATTCCCCAAATCTCCCATTAAATCACATCAGAAAGTCTGAAATAGTTCTCTCAGAGGTTTGAGAACTTGTTCTGGACATACAAATAGAGGTATAGATCTCTTCATAAACTCCATTTTGTCCTTTAAAGATTTTTTTTTTTCTGGACTTAACTCCAATTGCCCCCCTTATTTTTAAAATTTCTCTTAACCCAAGAGCACCCATCAATTTCACATGTTAGTCCCTCTTCCCTGTACCTCAGCCTGGGGTGACTGGGAGTTCTATTTGACCTCAGCACAGTTTTAGTGCTCTTGGTCAGCATCAGGGGACACTGGACTCTTAGCTGTGGCTGACCTCAGCCAAAAAATACTTTCATATTGATCCTGTTGCCCTGTGATAGGCTTCCATTGTAGTGCTATATGTGATGCTATTTCCACTTAATCTTCTGTGCTATAGTTATCTCTAATTTCATAATATTATTCCATATTTTATCTATGTCATTACTCTAAACTCTCAAGTACATATTTGGTATTTATATTCACCTTTGAAATTAAAAAGTATAACATTGACAAATAAGTTAAAATGACCTCTGTAGAAAATCTTGATTTCATTAAGTAAAATACATAATCTATAACCTTAAGACTAATAAAACTTAATTTTTCCAAAAAAAAAAAATCCATACTGTCATATTCCAAATAGTAATTACTTCCTCCTCATATTTCTTTTCTTATTTTTATTCTCATTCGTTTCTCATTATATTTTCTAACACCAGCCAAAATCTATAATTGCTGTCCGGATTCTTTTTAAATGTCTTCATAGCCCAATCTAAAGACATTTTATGTTAATATATTTCTTGTAATAAATCTATAAAAATTTTAAATAATCAGTTTACAGCAAACAAAATGTCTCAGAGATCTCCAATGTTTTAATAAATTATGTAGTACGTTTCCATTCCTCTGCATCTTAATTTTAAATTCAAAACAGTTAAAGAAAATACCTTACCCCAAAAGTTTTCTGGCCATGGACTCCCTAAGCTTGTTGTGTTATTAGCCATAATATCCACAAGAAATACAAGAAAAAAAGAAAGAAAAAAAAGTCAGTATGTCCAAAAGAAGTAGTTTGATTCTGTCTTTGTGGTTCAGCAAGAGAAATATAATTTTCACACAACCCTTGAAATTCTTGTGTTTGCATAAAAGGAAATAAGTGTATCATGTTTCCTGCTTTTATACTCAAATTAGCAACTGTTTTTCTTATCTTGGAATTCCACATGGTTCCTGAGACACAAAACAATTTCCTTTTCGTCATTTCCTCAGCAAAGTTACTGAGTATCCTACTGTCAGTTATCTCCAAAACTGCTTTTGGGAGAAAAGGCTTTTTTTCTCCATCTCCTACTGACATACATAGGAAGATTCCAAACTCTCAGCTACCACACTGTGGGTTAAATATATTCAGGATTGAGAAATAGACTGCTTTCCAAAGTTTGAAATTATATTTATACAGTAAATTGGGTGGGGGGGAGGGACTATTCAGAATTTCATATTCTATTCAAGTACAATTAATTTTACCTAGCACCCTTTCTTTATGAATTTCAGTTATTAATTAAAATTCTTAACCTGTCTCTTTCTCTTTGGGTATATTAAATTTGAAATGTTATTTTTTTACTTCATTTCATAAGTATTTATCTAAGTGTAAGTTACGTTACCCTTTAGTATTTAAATATGAAAAAGTTTCTGCAGTGAAGGAATCTATTAAGTCAAGTAAGAAAAAGATAAATGCAAAACATTCATTACAACAGAAGGTTAAGTGCTACATAGCAAGGGGTACAACGATCACAGGAATCTGTTTTTCATGAAGAGATCTGAGAGAGCTGATATAGGAAAGAGTTGCATGAAACTTTTCAGTAGTTTAGTTAAAATTTCAAGGGTCTTGGTCTGTGAGCTTTACTAGTTTAGACTGGATCTTCTGAGCATTGGGGAGCCATTGGAAGTGGGAAAAACAATGCCAAACTGCACTTAATAACTCCACTAAGCTTCACTCAGTGGTCTGGTTTCCCCAATCTTTGAGTAACTCTAGAATAAACTCTTCTACAACTCTTGCATTAATCCTAAAGGTCATTTACATATGACTTACTGTGCAGTAGTAATCATCTTTGTGAAGTCTGTAATATATTCCTGAATAGTTATGGGAAAATCAGAAGAAAATTTTTTTAAAATGACATGTGTCCCACATTAATATTTGCAGTCCTAATTTTTCAAAAATGAGGTTGTTTCTGCTCATTTTAAAAATTTTCATGGATTTAACAATAAATTTGTTGGAAATTTAAATATAGGCAATGGAAGAGAGAATGATAGAACGTTTTAGTGAATTTAGAGTATTCACTGAGCAAATACCGCTATAATATTCTTGCTAAAGTTTATTTCCACAAAATCTAGTAAATCATACTCATATTATTGCTTAAGAAAAGCAAAAACAGAAGGTTCATTTCAACACTTTATTTTCCAATATTGTTGGCAAAATTTTAAAAGACGAAGTTAAAAGAACATGTTATTTTGGAAAGAATATAATCTGGATCAAAATATATTGAAATATTACCCATTTTACTTTTCTAAAAACATACAGTGGGATTCTCCAATTAGTATATGTATTTTTAAATATGCATTTTTGTATTATTAAATGCTAGCTACCTGATTTCAATAAATCCTAATTTCAAAGATTTATATAATTTCATAAAGAGCTATATAGACTGCATTTTCCCTGAAACAACAAACCAAAATGAGTGGAATGGTGACTGGCTTTGTCTCAATCATCTTCTGTGCAGAAACCGAGCTCATTCCATGCCAGGGCTGGGGTACAGGCTGAGACTTCCCTTCATTGTTTCATGTTTAAATATCTAGATTTCCTCTCAGTAAGTTTTCACTTTTGCAGATGATCAGAACCCAGTCAAAACCCTGAAGAAAATTTGTATTCTATCAATTTATGACCTAAAGTATTTCTCTCTTTTGTTAACAGCTTGTTGATAGCATTACCTCTTATCAGTGTATGTAATTTGCTTGTAAAAGTTCATACTTTTCCCTGGCACAGATCCATATAAGTGAATGTTTCCGTCTATGTGATTTTTGAGTCCCATGACTTGTCATGCCATAACAGGAAATTGATTTTTATCTTTACAAAAATGATAGGTCGGCTTTTCTACTGTCCATTATTTCACAAGTTGGGTCTTTAAATCTGGGTTCTCCAGTAGTCATAAACACATTTTAAAGTTTGTTCTTTCCTCACATATTCACAGCACTGGTTTCTGGCCAGAAGTCATCTCTTCAAGGGGCATTCACTGACCACTTTATCTAAATTGTTTCCACTTGAACCACTCTCTACCCCCTGACACTACATTATTATTTTCTTCAGAGCACTTGGCACTCTTTGATAATAATGCTGAACATGTGTCTTAGTCTATTTCAGTTGCTATGACAAAATACCACAAACCAGGTGGCTTGAAGACAACAGGAATTTATTTCTCACAGTTAGGGACTGGAAGTGCACAATCAAGGCCTGGGCAGATTTGGTGTCTGGTTCCTCATAGACAGCTGTCTTCTCACTCTCACATGGTGGGAGGGGTGGAAGGTTACTCTCAGCCCCCTCTGTAAGGGCACTAATCCCACTCATGAGGGCCCCGCCCCATGACCAAATCACCTTCCAAGGGCCCCACCTCCTAACACCATCACCTTCGGGGTGAGGATTTCAACATATAAATTATAGGGTAAGATAAACATTTAGACTATAGCAATCTGCTTTGCATTTTCGGTTGTTTTATCTCTTCCAGCTGAAATAATTTTCATGAGGTTAGGAATTTTATTGATCTTGTTCATATCTGTAACTCTAATGGTTAAAATAGTGCCTGGAACACAATAGGCCCTTAATAAATATTTATTATTATTTAAAATTATATTTATTTATTCATTTATTGTGCACAGCTAGCCAGAATGGGCATCTGAACACTTGACCTGAAACGAAGAAAAATTAGACAATGTTTAGGATAGACTTGAGAATTTGGGAAAAAATAATTTATTATTTATCTATATTTTTCATTTATTCTTTTTCATTCTCATCCACGACTTCTATTTCCCTTTTTCTAACAACCACCATTCTAATGTGTTACTTACCTATCATTTATTTGGATGGATCCTTGTAAAACATATAAGGTGAGCATATACATTTTGAATAAGCATCACTGTGCTCTAGACCTCATTTGGCCTCTTTCTTTCACATAGTACTGTTTTTCAGCCCTATCCATTTTGCCATGTGAACATCTGGTCTGTTGGACAGCACATGACACATTATAGATTCTGTGGTGAGCACCACTGCTTTCCACTTGGCCATGAGGAACACGTTTTAAAAGTCTCCTTCACAGACAAACACCAGGTCAAGTTTACAGTCATTTGTTTCTTGCTCAATTTCTATTCTGTCTTTTGTTTCTTTAAATGTTTTATAAATAATTGCATAATATTTTGAATCTGATTAATTCCAAGTTCTTAGAATCTAGATCATTTTTATTATTCTTTTAATTGAATTTCACTTATAGTTATTTATTTTTTCATCTATTTGGTAAGTTTTAAATTTTGATTTTATATTTGGCTGAAGATAATCTATGAAAATCTTGAGAAACAGAATTAAGGCTACTTTCTTCTAGAGCATATTTGCTTTTTTCTCTCTGCTGGACAGTGGATGCACTTCCAACCTGGGACCAATTTAATTATTACCATGGTGTGGGGTTCCCCACAGGTATTATAAATTTCAATTCCATACGTACATGAGGACAGATCAATGATTACAAATTCTCAAGGGAAACAGTTACATCTCGTGAAGAGTTGGAGCTGTAGAGATGTTTTGTTCCTTTGTATTACTGAATAGTATTTCATGGTACAGACACATGACAGTTTGATCATTTACCCATTTTTCATTAATGTGTTTTCCAGTAGTCTGTCACTTTTTATTAATTTTGTTTATATTCTTATCTCACTTACTGACTGTGTCCTTTTATGTTTTAGGAACTGGCATGTGTCTTGATGACCATTTGTTACAGGCATTTTACCTCATTGGTTCTTTGTCTATTAATTTCTTTCTTTCATTTCTTCCACTCTTTCCTCTGTCTTCTCTCTCTGAACTTAAATTTTTTTCATGTGTTAATTGACATGATAATAATACTCATCTGACAGAACTGAGAAGTGATTTACTGAAAGAGTCCATGTAAAGCATTTAGGTTATAAAATCAATATACAGAACTATAATTAGTGCCTGACATTAGTAATACACAAAGCTCTATAACTAATGTCTTATAAAATGAATGACTTGGATTAGAAAATCTCTAAGAGCTATTCTAGCTATTATTTTAATCTAATTTTTAGTGATTTTTTTCCTAATTATAATGAGTTCTTATAGTATTTTTTTAATGTCAGGCTAATAATATGAGAAGATAATTATTTGAAATGAAGCAATGGTAGTGGACTTCAACAGGGACAAAAAAGGGTTTATTAAATGTCTGAATCAGTATTTTTGTAGAAATTATATTCGTGTAAAATGGCTCAAAAATTAACTGATTAATTGAAATAGAGAAAAGGAAAACAGTAAAACAATGTTAGAAAGTATTTTTTAGTAAATAATAAATTTTGAACGTAAACTATTCTTGTTTTTTACATTGAATTAGTAGCATAATTTTATAATTTCGAATAATTTCAAAGAAATATTACCTTGAAGAAATGTACTTAAACAACAAAGGAGAAAGATAATTTACATTTTCCCATGGTGGAAAAACAATTTTTATCATGCCAACTTGTCTCAAGGGAATTCATGACATACAGAGGCATGTGGCTAATCAGCTCAAATAAACAGTCCAGATACAAAATATCCCCAATAGTGTTCTCTACTGAATATACATTTTTGTTTTAAATAAAAATGCTGTCTAAGCTTTGGAAAGGTGTTATTACATGAGAAATATAACATTCTAAATAATTTTTTTCTCTGACTTTTTCTTCCATCAATCTCTTCCCCTATCTCTGATAGGTCATTAAAATTTTGAGAGCAAAAAGCAAGCTCGCACTGAAGCAATTGTTTTTAAGTTATATTAAAGACCCATTTCCTCTTACTTGGTTCACACCCTAAGAGAAGAATTCCAGGGGAGGACACAGCGGAATGTCCTT